TAAAAACGGAAATGTGGCACTTTGTCTTTGTCTTTAATTTGCACCTGAAAATAAATTCTTTGTTCCTCGTCTATGTCATCGCGGCGAAAAATTTCAGACTTTTCTTCTTTTCATGCAGCCTCAGACAAATGTGCCAAAGAAGTTCTGTCTTCTTGTATTCCTGGAAACAAAGTTTGGGCAATAGTTTTCAAGTTCAGTTTATCTTAACGAGATTTCGTGTAATATTAAGCTTTGGTTGAGATTTCTTTGGGTCATTGTACTTATCAGAGAAGTTTTGATCCGTTTCAAGACAGAGAATGTTCTCTCGCAAGTTGCCGTTGTAACCGGGATTGTAAGGTAAATGAGAAGAAGGTTGTGCACCTCTGAGAATGATCTCTGATAGATTGGACTGTTGTTGAAAATCTCACAGATTGTTTTAATGTATATTTGATAGGTTTACTCTCATCGTCGCACACGTCTTGGAGGCTTGTTAGCTGCCGAGTTAATGCTACAAAGTCAATATCTCCGGCATACACTTCCCTCAACTCATCAGCACGAACACAATATTGGGGAGGGGGCTCATGATAACCGAGCCCGGCTGAAATATATATATGTATATATATATATTTTTTTTTTTTTTTTTTTTTTGGGGGGGGGGGGGTGGTTCAATGATATCCGGGCCCCTCAAAAATATCGGGGGGCTCCGTGATGTTATCCGAGCCCCACACAAATATCGGGGGGGGGGGGCTCCGTGATTTATCCGAGCCCCACCAAAAATACTTGAGGGGGGGGGGCTCAATGATATCAGAGTCCCTCCAAAATATTTGGGGTTTAAATGATATCCGAGATCTACCAAATATATTTTTGGGGTCAATGATAAGCGAGATCCGATGTCTGAGCCCCCATCTCTCCTCCCTAAATAAATATTTATAAAATGTTTATATTTGAATGGTACGTCTGTAGATTATAGGTATACATGAGTTTCATGCCTAGAATATAATCATTGGGGAGGAGGGGGTTCATGATATCCGAGCCCCGCAATAAGTCTCGGGGGCGGCTCAATGATATCTGAGCCCCACTTAAAATATTGGGGGCTCAATGGTATCTTAGCCCCTAAGGACTCAATGATATCTAAGCCCCACCAAAAGATTGGGGGGCTCAAATAATGATATCTATAAGCCCCGCCAAAAATATTGGGGGGGGGGGGCTCAATGATCTCTGAGCCCCCCCCCCCCCCCCCCCCCCCCCAATATTTTTTTTTCTGCGCCCCCCAATCCCCCTCCCCCCGATTCCTAAGCCTAATTAAAGTTCAATGAAGTCTATTTTTTAAACTTAAAGGGATTGGGTAACGTTGTTTTAGGTTCTGAAACAAAAAATCCTGGAATGATAGTTAGGGCTAGTTCTGATCGGAAAACGACCCAAATATCGGAGTATGGCAAGCTGCCCCAGGGCCTTTTCCTATATACGGATCAGAGAAAAAATACTTTAAACATTTCGGGGGTTACTTTTATGACTTTAGGGGGCTCTTTTTGGCATTTCGGGGGCTAATTCACCCCAAGCCCCCGTGTATTTTTCCTCCTGATACGGATAAGTGAGTGCCCTGATGGGTCTACTTCTAACTCGTGTTTTTAGCCCTTCTTTCTTTACTTTTTCCTTTCCTTTCTTTTTTCTTCCTTTCATTTCTTATTTTTTCAAAAAGGGGGGGGGGCGGGTCCATTCCCCCCCGTATATCCGCGCCTGAATGACACCCACACAACTAACCTTATTTATTACCGAACAAAAAAAATGAAGAAAGAGCCCCTCGACACCATAGGTGTAAGTATTCAGCCAGTTCCTACCCCCCCCCCCCCCCCCCACAATATAAAATTTAAAAGTGATTATTTTTTCTAATTTGATACCAGTGATATACAGATGTTGATGAATACTTTTTATGCGTTTGTTGGAGAATGACATATATCACAATTTACAGTCAGGCAAAAAAATGTGCTTATTTACTATTTAGAGGCCGACATGTCAGGTCCCGCGGAACGGCGGGCTTGGGGGGTTCAAACCCCCCCCCCCCCCCCTTCCCACCCCCACACTTTTGAAAAAGTAAATTAAAGAGAATTAAATAGAAAGAAATAGAAAAGAAAGTATGCTCATGTAACCGTAATTAAATGCCCATACCCCTGAGCTAATTCCGGAGGCTCTGCCCCCTGGACCCCATCTTGGGCCCTAAGGCTGGCCCCTGGATGCTAATCTGACCTTAATTGTAATGCCTAAAACCCCTGCGCTTCCGGGGGCTCCGCCCCTTGGACCATACGCCAATTAGTGACCTGCCAGTGTCATGAATATGGTATTAAAATATGCTCATCTGACCGTAAGTACGAAGCCACGTACAATTGATTACAACAGTAATTGTGGGGCCAATATCACGAGTATGCCTTCATAGAATAAATGTTTTAAAGAAAATATTCACTTCTACTTTCAAAAGGACTGGCCCATTTGCTTTAAAAAATTGTAGAGAGTTATTATTATGTAATTTCTAGAAAAAATGCCAACCACATGATTTACAATGAGTCTAAATACATTGATTTGCCGAGTTTCTTCCTTTTTATCAAATATACACGTAAAACAATGGGGGGACAGACTGCGCGGATAGCAATCCGCACGGATCGTCCCTCGGACGATCCGTGCGAGTCACGGACGATCCGTGCGAGCAGAAAACCCGCATATTTTGTCCGACGGACAAACGAAACTGGTAGGACAAACGGCGCGGTCACAGGCCCTAGACTAATTCCTATAACCGGTCCATATCTATCGGCGAAACGAGCAAGTGCCTGATTAGTTACTCTTTATACCATTACACTATGATTCAAGGTTACATAGGTTATACATTTTTAATCGGAACCTAAATCATTCTACCAAAGTTGGGTACACTTTTTTTGTACACGCATATACTGCATATACATATGAAATTCAATAAACAAAATATGAGTTAGAATTGACTCATTAGCATTATATTATGTAGGCCAACAAAAACCATATAAAATATCATCAGATCTCGTTATGACTATATTTACATAATCAAGGGCATCCCGATTGTGGAAATTCTTCCCAGCTTAATATATCTTCCCCTGCACCAAACATTGCCAAAACCAGGAAAGATGTTAATGGGTATTTATTTTCTAAGTTGTAACCTTTTAATTCTATAATTTTCTACATTTAATTCAAGGTAAAAAGAGGCGGTTATCAGATGCTGGGAAAAGCACACTTAATGAAATATGAAAAAAGGCACCGGTCAATGAAAAAGGGGCACTTATCAGAGGGATAAAGTCTTAAAGTGGCATTTAAAAGAAAGGGAAGGGGTGCACTTATTGGAAAAATAAAAGGAGCACTTATCAGAAGGGAAAATGGTATTTGTAGGAAAGGGGCATTTCTCGCACCTGAAAAACTGGCACTTATTAAGAAGGGGGAACGAGGCATTTATTACAGAGGAAAAGAGGCACTTATCAAAGTAAAGGGGCATTTATCAGAGTCGAATAAGGGTATTTATAATATTGATGAAGGGGTCGCACTTATTACAAATGGAAAAGTGCACTTATCAGACGGGGACATCGCACTTATTAGAAAAAGGGGTACGTGTTAAAGTAAAAGGGGCACTTATCAAAGGTAAAAATGGGGACACTTATTAAGAAGGGGGAAGGTGTATTTAATACAAGGAAAAGGGGCATTTGTCAAAGTAAAAGAGATGCCTTCATATTAGAGTAGGGGCACTCAGAAGTTTGAAGAAAAAAAGGTTATTTACCCCCTTCCCCCTCCTCCCGGAATGCCGAATCTGCAATATCCTGATTTGATTATGCTTTATCATAATGTATGTCACAATGAAGCATTACAGTGTGATTTACTCAGAATATGGGGCCATCAAAACTAGTCATGATATCAAAGTTTTTAAAACGCTATTAAGCTGTCCACTGAAACAACTTTTCTTAATTAAATATAGGCCTATAATATTTATGTTGTCGTGCCACACACACAGAAACGAAATGATTAGATAATGTGAAGGATAAGGCATGTTATGCTATTCCAAATGATTTGATGTCTTGTTGCAGGATGTTAAAACCACTCTGTACAATCATGTACGTGTACACAGGCGTGTACGCAGGGGGGGGGGGGGGGAGGGGGTTAATCCCCCCTTCATTTTTTTTGTATGTGTGTTTTTTTTTAAATTAAAACAAATAAAAAATGCTAATAGATGACCTAAAAGAGTTGACCTTACCCCCCCCCCCTTCCCCCTTATTCAGCGGCTGGCTGAGTCGCTGCGATTTTTGTTAGGACAAAACAAAACAAAACAAATCCTCTAACCCCCCCCCCCCCCCCCAATAGAGCATTAACAAAATGTCTGAATGTCGAAAACCAATTAAATGTGTTAGGTATTGGCTGAGATATGACCATCTGAATAAATAGATTTCCTATAGGAACTCATTGTTATTTGCTCTGGCTCATAACATTACGAGCCAGAGCAATACATGTACAACACTGAGTTCCTATATGACATCTATTTATTCAGATGGTCATATCTCAGTCAATACTTAACACATTCAATTGATTTTCGACATTCAGACATTTTTTTATGCTCTATTGGAAAGTGAAGAGAAATTCTATTTAAAAAAAATTATGATGTCACAGCTTCGGTACTTTCTAGGCGACACAGTTCTCAAAATTGAATCATCTCACCAAAAACTTTTGCTCGGCAAAGATGGCCTTAGATATTGGAAACGCCGGAGATAACAGCGTTGTAGTCAGGTTGGTTTAATTAAAATATCAATTCGACATAAACCAATATATATAGTGGTTGGTTTTGGTTGGTGAGCTGGTGTATACGGCAAACAAAGCGACGATAAAACTCTCCGCTCGTCCAGGAGTAAATAAAAGTACTGGTATCATAAGTGGTATGCATGGCCAGATGCTACCTGTCATGCGGGCGCTTTAAAGTGCGGGCGGGTTATTAAAAGACCACCGCCTCACTTCGACTCGAACAGCAGACATCAACAGTTACGTGTGTGCGGAGATAGGGGGAGGAAGTACCGGAAAGTTCCATCATTCTACGTGCTTGTACGTGTCACAAATAACAGATATGAAGATAAGGTAAGGAATTTTTTCTCTCCAATATTCGCTGGTGTTCTTTTGTTCCTTCTTCATTTCCCATTTTGTCAATAATTCATATGCGATCAAGGTGCAAATGGGTAGGGCCTATGCACTTGGGCTAAAACACGAAGTATGCCATGTTCGTAAAGTAATCATATTTAATGCACAAATCTTTGTTGAGTGCCTCGTTATAAAATATTTCAGCTTTTCAGTTTTGTTTCTTTTATTTAACATGAAGAGAAAAATACAATACTTTAACAAAACATGGCATATTTACAAAATTGATATTCGTGAACCATTAAGACATCTACATAGCATACGTTTGTATGGCATTTACACTAAATCATTTCGAAATTACATTTGAAAAAGGGAATTTTTGACAAAGTGTCATTTATAATAAGGTAAAAGTATAATAATACAAAAAGCAGAGTATACAGACATAAACAATGAAATGATATGGATGATGGGTGTAAGAAAGAAGAGAAATAGGAAGAGAAGGTGAAGAATGGGGGTCAGAAGAAGGAGGAGAGAGAAAAGGAAGTTTTTAGAATAGAATGTTCAAGGTCGGAAGTCACAGTTGGTATAGTTGTGCATTATATATACGAATTCAATCATAATAATTTGATATGTTTTTTAAAGCTGCCACCGTTTTTAAGCTGTTTGAGATTCGGATCAATGGTGCTCCAGTAGTTTGGTCCTGTGTATGTTTTTTATTGGCGAAAACTGTCCTGGTTAGAGGAAGATGATAGTTTGTACGTGTTGCATGTCGTGTTTGGTATGTGTGCAGGCGCGTACGCAGGATTTTTTCAAGGGGGGGGGGGGGGGGGGGGGGTTTTAACATTTATAAATTAGGCCGAAAATTTCGCAACGACTCAGCCAGCCGCTGAATAAGCGGGGGGAGGGGGTAAGGTCAGCTTTTCTAGGTCAGCCATGGGAAATTTTTTTTTTTTCATAACAAAAAAAAAAAAAAAAAAAATCCAAAGGGGGGGGGGTGTTTAGGGTGGTTATTTAGGGGGGGGGGGGGTTTACAAAAAAAAATACCAAAGGGGGGGTTTAACCCCACCCCCCCCCCCCCCCCCCCCCCCCCCCCCCCCCCCCCCCTGTGTACGCGCCTGTATGTGTGTATAGCGTCACTTTTTGTAAAGAGTTCAATTATGGCTGATGGAAGTTGTGGAGTACATATGAATATTGACGTATATGAAATTTTCAATAGGATATTAGAACTAGTTTACAAGAGAAACCTAAAAATTTGGATGTAACACAATAATTTTGAACTTCATTAAAAACCTATCCTATCCATTTCCAAGTAAAATAAAATAATAGGACGGTAAATAATATGTATTTTTCAAATTTTGGTTAGTCCAAATGTATGTCCACCAGTGTCCACTTCCTTAATAATCAATCTAATATTACACAAATTGTCACAATTTGGGGTTCACTGCTCCTCTATAACTGGTCATAAATCACGATACTTTTTCTGAAACTACACTCTGTGCTCTGGCCCAGCGAAAAGAATCTAAAGAAATGTAAAGGGTTCTTTAGTCTGTGATGATGCGTGATTACATAATCAACATTGTCGCGTCAAATGAATGTCCTCATCAACATACACATTATCAGGTGGTGGTGGTCATGATGTGAACAAAGAGAGGCTCTCATTATTAGTCCATCTGTAGTAGGGTCCATGATTGTACCATCTTCGAAGCCGCCAGGAGAAAATTTGTCTGGCATGTGCTTAACTGGATCTTCCTTGCAGATACGTAGATAAAAGGTTCCAGCGTAGCTGCAAACTTACTGGCCACTTTCAAAGGGAAATATGCTTTCGTAATGATAATTACTTTTTGCTACCACTCGTCTGTTAATGCGAGCAGTACACAGTGCTTACCTTTAGAAGGCAGGAGGTATCTTATCAGTATATTTTTATTCAGTTTGAGAGATTGGATTCCAATTCCTGGTGTTGTTCAACACAATTTGGTGTGGTCAGATATGAAGTACATGACAGAATCAAATTGAAGACCATGAGTGTTCAAGCCAAATGCAAAAGTGATGTTAAATAGTGACACTTTGCGGGGTGATGGGGCATATTAACACCGAAGTTTGGGGTTGAAAAATAATTCCAGTACTGGTGTCAGACAACAGTCAACACCTAACTTTGGTGTTGATTATTAACACCAAACTAGTGTTAAGTGAATTTGATTCCAATTTATGGTGTGGTCATATATGGAGTGGGCCTACTTGAAAGACTTAAATTCAACACTCCAGTTTTTGCAGTGTTGGATCATGATGAGAGTTGCCTTTCCTAATGATCGAAAATCATGATCAAACGACGATATATCTTGTAATTCATTTGAGATATCTTCCTCTTGTACTGTATGTAAAATGGACAAAAAGTATGAACGTCAAAATGTAACAATTGAATTTGGCGGGATGACATGAAATGACTTATCCTTCACTTCATCCGATCATTTCTTTACTCCGTGTGGAATGATGACATAATTAATCAAGAAAAAGTGTTTCAATAGACAGATTTGCGGTTTGTAAAAAAAACATTGAACTATAGGTAGTTTTTATAACCCCCATATTTAGATTAAATCACACTTTTATGTTTCATTGCGCCATACATATTTGTGTAATATCCAACTTTAAAATGTATATTGACTAACCCGTTCCCTATCTTGTTCAGCTGCACACACCACTGTATGTTCGGGGTTTCAAGAGGGAATAAATGCCGTCCGTAATATCATTCCGTTTTTTTTTTCAATTTGAAAGTCTAGTTTCTTTGATTGTTAATTAACCCCTATCCTGTGTATTTACAAGCGAACGATTTTAGTTATCAGAATCGATTTAATATCCCCTTTTGAATGGTTTGAAATGCCATCACATTTACATACACTAAACTCATTAAAATTTGACAAATAATAGCTTTGCAATTATAATCATTCTTTATCGGATTTCGTCTGCTTGAGCAGTATTGGTCCATTATGTGACGTCATTAAACATCTTTCTGGCGAATATCTCGTATTTCCCAGATGCTATAGAGGTGGTTGTATTTGTATTTGTATAAATCACCCGATATGTAGTTGACCTAAAACTTGTACGATGACCATCTGTTAGCTTTAATACTAGTTTCTAGTGATACATTAGTTGACATATTTGTGATTTTCTTTGAATTTCCCCTTTAAAACAAAATTATACACTACTCAACATGTTAGAAAGGTCGATTTTCTTCAACTCGAAAGACTAGACGTAAAACATTCCAAGCCAAGTGTCCGCTACGCCTAAATCAATATATGAAATTTCTTTATCAAACAAGGATTATCAAGCACAAACGTTATTAAAGTTAATGATTAATAAAATAACAATAACATGTTTCAAAGTGAATAATTATTAATGAAATGAAATAGGTGCACTCTATCACGACTATATCTACACGAGAATCCCCGAACGGGATAAATAGAAACGCGGCGGTGAATATGGACAAATTTGCCTAGAACAAACAAAAATGATTACAATAATATGCCTTTCTTCTATAGCGCATATAACATTATAATATAACGTCTCTATGCGCTTCCAAACCTTAAATTAGCAATAAGCCATAATTCTCTCCCTCTAATCGATGTGACTTTGGTGCCTAAAGTCTTGTTCAGACGGGGGCAAGTTACCCCAGGGTAAAGGTCGAGTTAAGAGCTAGTCGGGCTAAATATGGCGAGGTAGGTGGAAGGCTATGAGTAGTGGCCGTCTGAACGATGGTCGTGTTAGTATATGTACAAATGAATATGTTCCTATTTTAGAAGAAAGGCCTGTATGCTATGAGAATTCTTTTGAATTATTCCCTGTTGATATAGCTGATGTTCTTAAAAGAAATTTTTGCTTTAAAAAATAAGAAGTCTACTGGTGTTGACGGGATTAGTACCTTTGTTTTGAAACTGTGTGGGCCCGAAATAGTTCGGAGCATCACATACCTAATAAATAGGTCAATTAGTGAAGGTGTGGTTCCAACTAGGTGGAAAATAGGCAAGATAATTCCATTATTTAAGAAGGGAGATAAAGCTAATCCTGATCATTGTATATTATTCAGATAAAGACCCTTGTAATATTGAAAATGTTTTGAATATTGAATTGCATAAGTTATATTCTTGGATGAATTGTAATAAGTTGAAAATAAATTGTACTAAGACTGTTAGTATGCTGATAGGCACTAAATATATGTTGAACAGAAACAGTAGGTTGAACTTAAAAATTAATGAAAATGATATTGTTCAAGTTGACAAATTTAAATATCTAGGTATTTTTATTGATTGTGAATTAAAATGGAATGTACACACCGATGAATTATGTAATTATGACCAGATATGAAAAGGAGCACTGATGGGAATTGAAAATGGACACCTATTGCAAAGGAAAATGGGAACTTGTCAAAGGAAAAGGGCCACTTGTCAAAACAAAAGGGGCACTTATGCCAATGAGGGGCAATATGCAAAGGATATTGGATTGAGAACATAGTCTAACTTGAGTTATGTGAAAGGGACAGTTGTCAAAGGAATACTATAATTGTTGTTTTTTATATCATTTTTCTAAGCAATAAAACAAATACTTGCAATATCAAACGTCAACAATGTTATAACAAAAATATTTTCATTTCTATTTTTATATTCGTATATTGTCTAAATGACTTTTTGAAAGTACATGTATGCAATTCGTATTTTTCAATGTACATGTACTTTTACATTTTACTATCTTACTTCTATTATTCAATATACTACACTATACATATTTCAATATTGACAAATAAATTGTAATTGTATTTTTTGTTTGAAATATGTAATAAGTCTTTTACATGACCATTTCAGCCATGGGGCTGCGACTCATGTTTTTAACAAAGTTAAAGGGGCACTTTTCCTATGTAAAAAGGGACACATTTCGAATACTTAAAAAAAAGTAGGGGCACTGTCCCCACCCCCCCCCCCTCTCCATGGGGAGGACCGCATCTAATTTTGGCGCTCTCCAAAACAAAGATAGATGTCAGAAGCATATTTGCTAGATCTCCTGGAGGAAGAACATGCCTTGATCTTCTGGTCAATGTTGTAGGCCAGCTGACGAATCATGGTGCGCCCGTAATGATCGCCCTACAGTCTGCTCATGCTCATGTGAAACTCGCTGTAAGTCCCCGTACTCGATCTAAACTCGCGTAAATCTCGTGGGCAACTCGACATGACTCGCAGCACGATCGTCGTGCTCGTACTCCACTCTTGGAAACTCGAATAGCACTCGCGTATACTTGAAGGTGGCGAGTTGATACGAGTTATGAAGAGTGCAGTGCGAGCTTGTTACGAGTTATGCGAGTATAATACGAGTGTAAGCGAGTTCACTTCGAGTTACAACGAGTCAGTGAAAATGTTCAGCGCATGGCTAGCACAATTCCCTAACACAGTAGCCCTACTAGAGGGTAGCGTAAGTTTACCGTGTGGATGCTCTCAACTTACACATGGGAGTAACTGTGACCTTTCACGAGCTATCTATACACAGAGTTTGGCCAACGGCCAACTTGATTTCACTGGGTCACATATTCTTTTGTTTTGTGCTTGCCCAACAAAGCAGTAGTCGCCATATTGTATAGGCCTATGTTGGTTCTGTTTGTATTACATTTGGAGGAATAAAACAAAATTACTATATAAAGTGTTTTGTATTGACTTACTTGACTTGATGGTATAGATAGGTCTACCTCTTGGGCGTTTGCCACGTACATTTCCGTTGAAAAGGATGTGGGGTATCTTTTTGGATTCATTCTGTTGATATGTCCAAAGTTTCTCAATATTTTTGTGGCAACCCTGTCAATGATGGTATTTTTCCATGTTCAGTTGTGTTCGTATTTGTGTGTTTCTCATCCTGTCAAGTCTGGTCACACCGATCATTCTCCTGAGGCATGCCATCTCCAAAGTGTGAAGTCTATTTTCATCAACCTTTTTTAATGTCCATGTTTATGCACCATGTGTGTATATATATCTATTCAAAAATATCAGAAATAATAATATGCTTCGTACACGAAAAAAATAATGATTTTCTTCTATATAAAACAACATATATAAATAATCATAATCTGTTCATTTCCTTTCGGACAGAGTGACATCGGTGCCAAGCACCGCGGCCAAAATAGCTAGCAATTTATTGTTAGCTGTGCTGATCCTCTTCGGGCTGCTGCTGTTTTTCCCCTGGGATCAGATGACAGTTCGAAATGCCAGCAAATCTATCCCTGGTTTTAGTGCCCCCAATCCAGGAAGTAAGTTAATATTAACATTGTAGTAATCTTTAGTCTGTGATGGTGTCATCGTGAAACTCTCTTCTCGATTTTTGTCAGTGACTTACCCTTCTTTGTAAAATGTGTTCCCATCGCAGGTATTTGCTTTCTTTGTTTTTTGCCTCCTTCTGCTTTTTGAATTTCTTTACTGTACTGCTGTATCTGTTCATTGATTACCATGATCAATGAGAAGGAATCAAATGTGAATTTCAATGATATTAATTGACCAATCAAATTGAAAGAAGTGGTAGGCAATTTTCGTTTCAGTTTCCAGAGGCGACGGCTTAAAATTATGTAAAGTTTAAAAGATCACGAGTTAAATCATTTATTTTAAGTGTACAAATCACCAATATGTATCTTTCTCTTGAATTGTAAGTCCCTATACAATGTTAACTTCGGCCCTTGGGCCAGAGTTGGGTCGTGCGTGATATACATTTAACTGTAATTTATTAACATCTTCATTATTATCTAATCATTGATATTATTGCTAGTTTATCGTGTTGAACTTCACAGGTTATTACAATACGCAGTCTATTGAAAAAGATAACGGCTCCCTTCTTCAGATAATGGAAGAGCCCACATCAACTATAGGCACGACAAATTTTACGTCGTTGCCGCGTGCTCTCTACCAAATGGCGAAACCGGTAACTATTGTCTGTCTGTTTGTTTGGGTTTGTTTGTTTTTACCACGAATTTTAAGAGATCGAGTCCTATCCAGCTCATTTTCTTTGTACCATCTTCTATACCGCCAGGAGAAGATATGTAAGGCATGTGCTTAACTGGATCTTCCTTGCAGATATGTAGACAAAAAAAATCCTTTCTAGCTGCAAACTAACATGCCACTTTCAAAGGGATAATGATAATTACTTTTCGCTACCACTCGTCTGAAAAAAGAGCAGTGCACATTACTTACCTTTCCAGGAGGCAAGCGAAAGGAAATGGAGCAAAATTTCCTGAAATATTAATCAAAATTACTCGCCTAGGCATGTATGGGAACTAATCTGACATATGACATCATAGAGAACTGTACATGAACAAATTCACTTTTTTTTCGTGAGCCGGAAGTAATCGCAAAACTGTCAAAAAGTTGAAGGTTTTAAGACTGTAAAATTTTACTATTTTTCACAAATTAAAGCTGCTGTCATACAATGTAAGCTAATTTCTTGACACAGATAGGCTTTTGGATTCATATTTTATCATCTGTTCGATGTCCCCCTTGGTAGTTTAAATAAAAATTGAAATATGAAGGATATTTCTCCGTGAACAAAACCACTACTCAAGCTTTCCAATGATATTTCCTCGGACATCAAAGGTAACAGCACACCAGTAGATTATATTGTGGAACCATAGAAAACGGTAGCTGCTTGGAATAATGTGTTGCCAGTTGGGTCTCCAACTCTTCAAACTCCTTCATTTTATCACGGTACAACGATGATGTGGGAGTGTCTTTATACGTTAAGTGGGTCATTCACTTGACTCTCAAGACAAGGTTTGAGGGTTCGAATACCAGCCCAGCAGAATAAGTATTTGTTATTATTATAATTATTATGTTTATATTTGTTTTAGTTGTAGTAGTAATATTAGTAGTATTACTATTAGTATCATTACTACTATGTGTCAACATGATGTTACAAGATCTTTTGCTTCATCATTTGCCTCCAAGACTTAGTGTCGAGTGAATGGTTTCTGCTCTTTCTCTTTCACATGAACATATGTCAAAAGAAACTCTTAAAAGTGTTGAGCTAAAAACATGAAAATTTTTCAACCGACACTACCGTGTGAGTAAAAAAAAAAAAAGGTTTACACCTTGAAAATTGATAATTATTTAAAAAATCAGCTGTGAACAGTAAATTATTATACATCTTATGAAAGAGTGTTTTATCCCAAATCATTTGGTATCATTCTTGTGTGGTATGTGTTCACGCTTGGATGAACAGGAGGCATTGTTTGCGAGAGTGCAAAATTCGACTTGCGCCTAAGTGATGCCTACACCATGTATTATGTTGATATAAGCGGAGTGAGAGAATGAATTGAATGTATCAAATGAATTGCATATGCTTTTTGCAGAAGCAAAGTCACACACGCACACACACGCACAAATGTTCGTTGATATTTGATATTCGACATTTTATATGTGTATAGCATGATTAGTTTCGTTAGGGATGTTATTTGCAGAAGCAAAGTCACACACGCACACACACGCACAAATGTTCGTTGATATTTGATATTCGACATTTTATATGTGTATAGCATGATTAGTTTCGTTAGGGATGTTATTTGCAGAAGCAAAGTCACACACGCACACACACGCACAAATGTTCGTTGATATTTGATATTCGACATTTTATATGTGTATAGCATGATTAGTTTCGTTAGGGATGTTATTTGGATCTGCAAAAATCGATTTAATAACCGAATCCCAATTGTTCTATTTAAACATCACATAAGCAACTTCTGCGCACTCTCGCAAGCAGTGCCTTCTGTTCATCCAAGAGTGAACACATACCACACAAGAATGATACCAAATAATTTGGGATAAACCACTCTTTCATATTAGATGTAAAATAATTTACTGTTCATAGATGATTTTTGAAATAATTAGCAATTTTCTAGGTGTAAACTTTTTTGACTCACACTGTAGTTAACACTCTCCATTGCATTTATGTTTATAAAAAGTGATTTTGGGCATTTGATATCCTAAGTGGTTGGGCAATCAAATCGCCCAACAGCAGATAACCATCTTTAATATACATGTACCTTGCACCCATATGTCAATAGGCCTACTTTCAAGCATGCCAAAAAGATTATGTCTTTTAGCACTGATCATACTTTATTCAACAATATATTCTTCCAATAAATTTGCTAAATTCATTTCATAAAACTGTATTTTTTCACATCCATTACCCAATTCCGTTACCCCACCATCAATAATCTTTGATTTGAGGTGTACCTATTGTTTTGTTATGAATGTACTATTCTAAATTACTTTTTAATACTCAAGTCTTTTGTGCGGTATCATTGTGTTATTATTTTTGTAAATTGCACTCAATTCAGCCGCTAGCCTGCCATGTGCAATGTATTTTTGTATACCACAACAAATAAATTGAACAAAGAGGCAGTTGTCCGGGTGGGGGGGGGGGGGGGGTAGTTGTTTTCTTTCCGGTATTTTCGTCATGATTAATTGTTCATGGCACAGCTTTACCTGTGATGAATCTCCTCGCTGATACCAGGTTTTTGACGCCCTACCGGACGAGTTTCTCCCGGGATACAAAAGCCCCTGCTGGGTGATACGGACCAACGCCAAGGACAATAAAATCAGATGTCTTCCGTACTTCTACATTCTTGGGACACCCAAGAGTGGAACCAGCGATCTCTGGGATAAGATCAGTGGACACCCGGACGTGATAGGGGGGATTTTGAAGGAACCGCATTGGTGGACCCGGCGTCGACTGGACGGTAAGCTATGCATGGCTATGGTCATACCTTTGTAATGATTTTTGTGTGTGTTTGTGAATGCAGCATTTATATTAGAGAAGTAGAATGGCGATAGTTTAATATAAATCGGACCTATGATATAAATAGGTTATGATTGGGTGTAATATGATATCATTATATTTCTCTGTGCGAATCTCAAATTAGATCTTCGGTCAGTGTATTGTAATTATTAGTCACAAACAACTCTACTGTTGACGTGTGCACAAATACAATTTTTTTGTTTTCTTCACTATTGGGCATCTCCCTTAACTTAACGGACTACTCAGAACGTAGTTTTGGAATTCCCTTACGTAAAGTGATTACAAAATCATAAAATTCTTAATATTCGTCCGATTTCGTTCAAACTTTCTTTCGGAGCAATTTGCTGTTTAGTTTGAATTTTTCTTCAATACCTCAAGGGATGAGCTTGACTTCTGATTCCATGGTTACACCACAACGAAGAGGTGTCGTAGTCGAGTAAATTCAAATTCAAATTCAAATTTCAATCCAAACAGATCGGATCATTCTCAATTTTTGTACATTGGATAACACATTTCAAAGTGATAGTGTAACAATGATTGATGACTGAGATGATTGAGTGTAAGAGTAAAGATAACAATAACCAGGAGTGACACAAATTAACATACTACCGCATGTCTCATCTGAAATATAATACAGACTGTCCGAGGGATGGCAGCCCCCCCCCCCCCCCCCCCCTGTCGAGAAAAAAGGGACTTGAACTTGGCAACTGACAATCTTTTTTTTCTTTCTTTTCTCTCCTTCCTATTCTTTCAATCAACATTTTGTTTAGCAGGCTTCGTTGATAAAACCTTTTTGGTTTAGCTCCTATTTGTAGTTTCCTCTATATACTCTCTCCGATTGGCAGCAGTTGTATTCATATCCGTTGTGTAATTTCTGACCGTCAGGGTTCAAGTGCAGTAACTTTATGACAATAACAATAGACACTTAATTCAGATATTCCAATTCTGACCTATGGGCTAATAGCGCCTTCAACTTTCATTCATTTTCACTCAATACCCCCCCCCCCCCTGTTTTTTCTCCTTCTACTGATTTCTCTCTCTCTCTCTCCCTCTCTGCATCTAGCTTTTTGCTTTCTCTCTTTCTCTCTCTCTCTCTCTCTCTCTCTATGTATACAATTTTATATATGTGTTTGTGTGTGTGCGCGCGTGTGTGTGTGTGTTTGTTTGTGTATATATATATATATATATATATATATATATATAAAAGTGCGAGATTTATCAACTCTGACATGACAACGGTTGTTCCAGAATATGTAGGCGTGAAGAAAATGGTCTAGGAATGTGAGATATAGCTGTACTTTACAATTGTATTACGAGCTTTCGGCTTGTGAGGCCTTCTTCAGGTTCTGAAATTTGTATGCCATGTGTATTTGTTCATACAATATATTTGTTTTTGCCAGTGATTGCACTTCAGAACCTGAAGAAGGCCTCACAAGCCGAATTGTGAGGCCTTCTTCAGGTTCTGAAGTGCAATCACATACAAAAACAAATATATTGTATGAACAAATATACATGACATACAAACTTAATATCACTTAATCATAGTCAAGCATCATGAACATAGCAAATATTAATACGGGAAACATTCACATATATCACATATATCACATCAACTGAATAGACACACCGACAGCCCAACACACAAGCAAGGTAAAACACTTTGATGTATTACACTTTGATATTGCATAATCGTTTCTAAGTTTATTCCGAAAGTATTCATCGTACTAATTTTTGCTATGTTCATGATGCTTGACTATGATTGAGTGATATTAAGTTTGTATGCTATGTACATTTGCTCCTACAATGTATTTTTTTTAATGTGTTTTCACGTCAGAACCTAAAGAAGGCCTCACAAGCCGAAAGCTCGTAATTTTTTCCTTCTCGCTTTCCGCCTTTTCTTTCAATATTTCATATTATGATGATGTTTCGATGACTCTGACCTTATTTCTGTTTGGCTGAAATCTGCTGTAGCGTTTGCTTTTAATTATTTCTCCTCTCTCTATCTCTCTCTCTCTCTCTCTCTCTCTCCCTTTCTCTCTCTCACACGCATAAACACGCTATATGATTCTCTGTCTGCATTTAAGTACTCTATACACATCGCCGCTTATTTGGATAATAATGCCTATGGTGTTCCGGTAAATATCGAAATTAATTCTAAACTGTATTTCACTCCTTCCTTTTCATGAACTGCATGATGCATATTTTGAGCTCCCGAACTGCAGTGTGGTTTTTAATAGTACCCTTTTTTCAACTCAATTCACAATTTTAATTTCTTCTTGTAGGCGTGTCGTTCGAATCGTATCTTCAGGGGCGGTCTACAAAACTAGTCAATACGTTCAATCAGGATGCTTCAAATAAAGACAAGCTCATCGTAGGTACGTATGCAGGCCATTAATTTGCTCCAATTACCCAGACTTCAATTTGAATTCTTGTTAATACTTTTTAATACTCGTTATATCATCTGAATGGAATTTGTACTGTATTTCATCGCAGTTTTTCCTATGTTACAGTCAATCGAATTCACGTATCTGTATACGTCTATGCAATTATTCTCTCAGTAACAAAACAGAAGGCCTTAGTTTTTTAATTTTTTTCTCATAAGGCTTCAATGTATTTTGAATTTATTTATTTTTAGTACACTCATCTGACATGCTAGCAATATTTTATATTTTGTATTTTTTTGTATCTTTTTTTTTTGTTTTCTTTTTGTTACTGCTTTGTTGTTTTGATGTAAACATTTATTATTTTGATATATTTTTTCTCATTTGCTTTGTGTTTCTTTATATATATATATATGTTTTTGAATGCTTTTTTAAATGATTGTATGTTTGATGTAAACTTGCATATTTAGTCTTTAAATTTTTTGACAAGTCTTGAATAAAACCTATTTCGAATTGAATTGAATTGTCATTTCTATTAAATAACACAAGTTATTGGACATGGGGAAGATAAAATTGGTCAAAAACAAAATAAAAAAACAAGCTGTTTCAGTCAAAAAAATACTTTACTATGGAATAAGAAAACACAAATAAGAATATTACACACACACACACACACACACACACACACGCATGTATATATATGAATCAAGATATATATATATATATATATATATATATATATATATATATATATATTAATTCATAACGTCGACAGAATACACAAGCGCTTCATCATGATATGCGTGAACGTTTCGTGGTTTTCCATGGTTATATAAATTATAGGACCTTACCTCATTGTTATATCATTTATAAAAGTACGTGGACACATACTCAACACGACATGAGTGAGTTACAAAAAGAGCCATTTTCTTTCTGGTTCTTGCTAACATTCGAATAACACGGCTCGATTTGACAAATGATTTACATATATATTTCAAGAAACAGGAAATGAAAAAGGAAAGAATGGTTAACATGGAATTGAGATAGAACGTATATTGTAGTAATTGAAAAGGGAGGGTGATGTAATGTCGGAAGAGAAAGGGAATTTGGATGGGAAATGGAGTGAGGTTTTCAATAAGTAGAGAAATAGAGCGAGGGGGTTGCAAAGGGTACAATCACATAACACATACTAGTTAAGCACATTAAACTTATATACGTTTACAACGTAATGGTTAAGAATATAGTTAAATAAGCGAAAATTCAACACTATTTCCTTATCAAACATAATAAGAAGCAAAGAAATTATATCATTAGAAATTCAAAAATATAATGCATCTTGATATGTAATTTTTGCAATTATAAACATAAAATTTCGATATGAGTGAGAAAAAGAGGGATATGATCGGAGAGAAGATTGTAAAGAAGAGAGAGAAAACAGAAATGATACATTTCTAGCCGGAATATAGGCAGTGCTGTGGGCATTACACGATTCAGACACTGAATTTTAATTATACAAATTGTATTAGTTTGTTTAAGTACGTCAGAACGAAAAATTGAGAAAAAATATAAAAAGGTTTTGCATCATATACATATTTATTTAATCAAACATATGTTTACAGAATAAAAACATGATTCTGGTGGGAAACAAGTAAAAGAGGTATCGGGGACAGGGGACAAATACCCCAAGCGGACCTGAAGGGGGTGCAAATAGGCAAATCAGAGGACACGCAAATACAAAGCAGAAAAAAAAAGACAGAACAAGAAAATCATTATTTATTTCTTTTAAGGATTATATGAGCCTCAAATACGAACGGTAAAAAAACGTTAGAAAAGAGGTTTCGAGGGTTGAAAATGCGAGAAAAAATTTCACTCGGTCGCGATTCTTTTTTACAAACATTTCTTTGGGGTTTCGCACCCATATAGTATCATAGCATTTAGATAATGAGTATGAAGATTCACATTTCAATGATAGAGGTGCAAGTCTCGTCGCTCTGCTACCCATTATATAAAGTTTCACCAGCGTCTTATCAAATATTGCGCCCCAATCAATAATGGAGTGATCGAAATAATATTTGAAAGAGTTAAACATTTGAAAGAAACCTTATTCCTGGACTTTATATTTCTAGCTTTCCTTAATTTTGCGCCCCAATTGATAAAGAAATGAATAAACAGAAAGGGGCTGTCTCACGGAGCGGCAAATTCTTGCGAACGTAGTAAATTTTGGGGTGTCGCCAGGGTTCGTAAAAAGTTGCAAGCAAGAAAGTTTTTAAAATCGACACATTGAGTACCAGGAGTCAGCAAAAGGTCCTAAACATTCACAAATTTTTGCAAAGGATTGGCAAATAGTTCCTAATCTTCACAAAATCTGTCGCTAACATTTGCTTACAGTCGATAATAGTCGCCAACTGCCTTTCGCAAACACGTTCACAAACATTATTTTACCTAGTTGTCGCTAAACATCGCTGAAAGTCGCTAAACTGTCCGACAGAGGCGCACCCTGATATTCGCCAACATTCGTCAGGAAAGTGGGCGAATCCAAAATGCGCATCGTTCGTAATGGGGCTTTCATATTTCCCCTCCAAGGAATTTTGGGGGAATTTTCGGCCGGCGTGGAGCCTACTATGGGCCCTAAGGCGGGCCTCTGGATGCTCACCTGACTGTTATTAAATGCCTAAAACCCCTGAGCTTCATGGGAAACCCCTTGACCCCGCCGGGGCTTTGCCCCTGCCAATTTACGCTCCTCTTCCTTCGCTCGCTTGGCATTACCTAGTCGTAAATACTTTAGCCCCCCCCCCTCCCGCGGCGCCCCCCGCCCTACTTTGAAAAACGTTCCGCGGGGCCTGCATGTAACTTGTAAGAGTGGGGGTGATGCGGATTTTGTTCTGCCCCCCCCCCCCCGAAAAAGACCGTATTTTTTTTCTTTTACGCCACTGGCACTGCTCCCTCGTCCCCCGCATTTAACCCCCCCCCCCCCGGTCATGAAAAGAAATCGCCGCCCCTGGCTACGTGCGACGTCCTTAAGTTAATGTGACTTCCTTTTAAGGCACTGAGAGTGCTGTCACACGTAGCAGTCCACTATGTCGGCGTGCATATCAAAGTCCCTAGTGATTAGGAACTCACCCTTGTCTATTCTTGTATTTATTTCAGGTGATGGTTCAGCTTCCACATTATGGGATAACCACAATTGGATGGAAGCATTCGGAGTTAGAAAAGAAGGGCCCGAATTCGTGACCGCACAAATCTTGCGTGCCGTTCAACCCAATGCAAAACTATTTGTGATACTGAGAGAACCCGTTTCAAGGTAAGAATACGTTTGTTTATTTTATGGTTTTGTTAAGTTTAGTTTTTTTTGTAATAATGAATTATAGTAATAATCATGGAAATAATTATCTTAATAACAATAGTAATTACACAAGTAATTGCCCAACCAATATTATGAATAGCGTAAATTCTTTTCACCCCAATGATGAATTGATCCCTAATATGATTCCTAAAAGATAACAAATCTTCTTTAATACATTTACAGGGCAATGACAGACGGTTTCATGTATTTTGCACTCAACCTTATACATATACAGTGACACGCAATTATACCAGTGGCCATGGGCGTCAATCCGAGCTTGAGCATGGGTGGGGGGGGGGGGGGGGGAGGGGGGGACACAATTACATGTCATCTTTACAGTAATTGTTACTTTCAAAGTTAAACCACGTTATACTGCTACACACACTCTCTCTATAACTCTAGTTACTATATCCTGTTTCACGACGTTTACTTTCATTGGTGAACGGTTCATTTATTGTCTTTTTTTTATCAGCATTTAGTCAAGGTTTATCGATTTATAACTTGCCACTACATCTTTCATTTCATGTACGGCATCTGCCTATCTCTATCAAGAAAGTTTAAACGTATACACGTTCACAGTTTGGTTTTTATCCCAAGAAATTTGACTGACACCCCGGGTTCAACACTCCTCAATTTCAGGTGTTAATGTTATGTGTTTGTTTTTAAAACCGTCTACAGGTTTGGAGAAATAATATTACCAGGTGATGGAATTTTCATTAATTTTTAGCATGAGCAGGGGTCCATGTGGACTTATTTTTCCACACAAATAAACTTGTTAAAGCCCCACTGTCCTAACTTGTAGCTACTTGCTCCCTCTATAAAGAAAACTTCCCCAATCGGTGCCAGTTGGTCCCCCATGATCCCCTTTTTCTTATGTTAATTGAGAGCTGAGTTGATGAGATAGCCACCTGTCAGTGACCTGGCTGGGTGATCTAATCACCATCTGGCCCAGTAGTATGGATGGTCTTTAAATAAATTTTAGAATCCAAATTTTATGATCAAGTTTCATCTTTTCACGCCAAATCGTAATGCATGATAATGCTTACTTGGGGATCACATATATTCAAATGATAAAACTCACTTGTACATCACTTGATCCAGGATTATACAGTCAATAAACTGTTGTTCCTATCCATGGTTTCCTTTGGTTGGAGTTGTCATCATATTTATCTGGGGCATCTTTGCACCAGTTCTCAAATCCAGATTTGAAGCGATTGATAGTAGTACTCTCCACAATATTGCCTGAAAGTGAAAGCCCATTCCACACATTGATTATTTTCTGGCTGAATGAGTTTTTCTTAAGTGTCTTCCGGCATATTAGCTTGTAAAGCTTAAAGATAAACTTGAGTTCAGATCATGCGATTGCATTGTGTGAGGAATCGATCAGAAAAGGTTGACCATCTAGCATATAAGTATTAGTGTGTACTGCAAGGTTCTGAAATCATCAAAATGATAAGAAATTCGGCCCAGTCTTGGTATAAAGTTACAAGCACTGTACACGGAAAGATTTATATGCGAATGCACGGCGAACATTTAGCACAGAAATTCCGTCTCGATTGTTATGATGTTACATGCCATATTTAGAATATTAAGGCATTTGAAGAGCCATGCTTTTCATTGAACATTTTGTATATGATGTTCTTCCACACATAATACAACGATAACGCTCACAAATTATTGTTCATATCTTCCCAGAATCAACCTTCTCTTTAAAGGCCAAGTCCACTCTCGAACATAACTTTATTTCAATGGAAGCAGAAAAATCAGACAAACCAATCAAAAAAAGTTTGAGCAAAATCGGGTAACTAATAAGAAAGTTATGAACTTTTGAAAAAGTATGCAAATATATAGACCAATGGAATTCACTACACAAAATGTCAATTTGGTTATCAGTTTGTGACGTCGAGTCCTCACTATTTATTTATTTATTTATTGCCCAAAACTTGATTGCCCCATGCCTTCGCCCAGGTTATATGATTTGTATGGATGTTTGCTTGCTTGTTACTGAATTTGCGGGTGGTGTTCCCCCCTTGATCCGCCCCTGCGTTCTTTTTACAGTCAAGCTTGTGTTATATAGTGGCCACCTTTCTACAGATGCCACCTCTCCACAGATGCCACCTCTTCATAATGGCCAAGTATCCCCCCCCCCCCTCGACAAAAAATTGCGTGTTGTAGGAGTAGGACCTGTCCAGAAAGGTTATCTGTCTACAGTGGCTACTAACTAACCATTCATCTTGACCCCCTTTTCGTTACTTTCGTTGATTCATTTTTTGTTGGTCGTTGTTTACAGATTGTACTCTGGCCACCTATATTTCCACCGCAAGCCGCATCCGGGACGATTTCATAACGACTCGGTGGAGACCATAGCCAGGTTTCACAGATGCACTGCTACCTTGAGCGCCCGCGCGTGTGCATACACAACCTCGCAACAAAAGGGCGTGGTAAGTAAGGTTCGGGTGCCGACTAGTCCACGATCTGGCCTATTTCATTTTGATCTCCACCACACCCACGCTTACTCCTCGTACTTACTTGCTGCCAGCCGATGATGGCGTGATCATTAAATAAGACGCGTCCGGCGGTCCTCAGGCTGAGCTGGTGTGAGCATAATTATGAGTTTGTTTATAACGCCATCTTCGACGGCTTGAATCAAGTGTGTAGGGAATTATAAAGGACCGGGCAGATTCTGGACTAGGTGACGACCGATGTATGTCCTCTCCGAGGAAATTTAACCATTTGGTTTCAAACCCTGGACATTTAGTTTTTAAAAACGAGACCATTGCTCTATCACTGAAATGTCTTGCTACCTCGATCTGTTCGCAACTTCAGTACGATACTAACTGTGGGAGTTTCATTTATCTTTGACTTTGATTGGTCGAGTTTCAATAATTGAAAGGGATAGTTGAGTTCTTGTTTAGACCGCAAATGCCTTCATTGTGTATGGTATTGCTCTTATTTTTATTCATGACATTTCTCGTGCCCTTTTATGACCTTAAATTGCTATGAAGGTAATTTTAGGCCCCAACATGAGTGAAATTTAGCCACTACGATCATACCAATTCAGCTCTATTTTCAAAAGAATACGGTTACCGTTAATTAATTAATAATATCAATACATGGGCCGGCTGGCTGTGCGTATTATACCCAACACGAAAAAGCCAACACAAAGCCAAGATCGGCATTGGCTGGAATAAAACGTACAAGGCGTTATTTCGTTTTTTAAGGGCTGGTTCAAATTATCTAATATTTGTGGTGGTACACAAATATTAGAAATGGTTAAATATTAGTGGATATTTTAGCCGTCTTTAAACCGATTTTGATCAAACAAAGATAATCCTGTCATTTAAATTGTATGTTCTTTCAAATTTGACACTCAGTTTTTGTATTATCTCACAAAAAAATGTTTTGTGTAGCGCCCGCTCAGTGCAACAGAACTCAACTATCCATTTAACTATATTTGCTTGAATGTTGAGAATGAAAAATGAAAAACAAAGTGTCAATAAAGTATCAACAGTAATAATAATAAGAATGGCTAAATCTGTAATCGTGTTAAAACGATGTAATGACGTCTGCGTTTGCCGTTAGAGGACGTGATTGTAGCGATTGTGTAAAACAACAAATTCGGATGAAGTTGGGACTATTTTAAGGAGCAGGTCGTATTTCTGTATTGGGAAAAGCTTCACTATTACTATCTATAGCAAGTTGTAAGAAGTCTCTTGCATGTCGGATAGTGAAGATAGATAGGTCAAGAAATACGGCTGAACGGACTGAAATGGCACCAATAGCAGTAAAAATGATAATAATAGTGATTGTAAGAACAAAAATAGTATTTCATAATCATAAAAAGTGATTATAACAATAAGCAGAAGAAGAAAAACGAGAAGGAGAACAAAAACAAGAAAAAGAGTTGGTAATTTTTTTTCTCAAAATAATTCTTACTCCAAGCAAAAAGAAATTAAAATAAATTGAATATATAAAGACTTATGTAAATAAAGACATGCTCACTTGGAGTTATAAAGAGTACTATTATGATATTAATGATAATGGTTATTAATAATGAAGTAGATGATGGGAAACATATACCATTGTTCCTTTTAACCTACGCCACTGACACTTCAAGTAAAACGACTTACTTTACTTTCATTTTACCTAGCGTCTCAACATCGGTTTATACGCCATTTACATCAGGGACTGGTTGAAGGTTTTCCCACGTGATCAGATGTTTATTCTACGACTTGAGGACTGGCATGAGGACTGCACGGAAATTTTACCAAATATCTACGCATTTTTAAATCTAAGTAAGCCAACCACAATATTATATTGTCGTTCAATAGTGTATATATATATATATATATATTGACTTGTAGGGTGTGCATTATTATAAAAATAATACGCAGCAGGGAGGGCGTTAGTAAGAATTGCCCACACTTTTGAAACACACAGTATCGAAGGTACCGAGCTCGGGGGGGGGGGGTATTCACATATTAGGATATATGGGGTGTGCCGCTCTAATGAGTCACTTTTTCACAAAAATCCCTATACATGGGTCCCATTTTTAACAAACTACCATTAAAAACGGATCCGTCCAAACATGCAAACACCCCCAAAACAGCCGAAATTTGTGAAGATTGGGTCTTTTATCGAGAAAAATGCCCCCAAATGCCCCCTTGTGATGGGTAGGTGTTTCGAGGCTTTAGCGGCACACCCCCTCGAAACTGATTCCCCCCCCCCCCCCCCCCCCCCCCCCCCCCCACCCCCACCCTGGTACCGAGTGTATCATGCGTTTTATTGACCGGTCATTAGTTAAATTACGTGTTAGGCAAAATAAATGCCTGGTCACGTGTACGCTCTAAACCCATCACTTGATTAGGATCCGCTTCATCATCTTAAAATATAAAATAATTGCGTGCTCCGGCGTGAAATATTATAGATAAAGTGACTGCTATGAGAGGAATAGTTGTTTTATAGGCTCAAGGGAACGTTGCATCCTGATATCACTCGAGGCGTGCCGAGGGGTGAAAGCAAGATGCAACATCTCCGAGAGCCTATACAACAACTATTCCTCTCTGAATCATGAAGGTTTCGCGGGCATAGATTACGGCGCGTGGGGGTACGCACACTTGTTCTGACACCGCGGACCCCCCCCCCCCCCCCCAAAAAAAAAAAAAAAAAAAAAAAAATTCCTGGGCAATGTGGCAAGAAAAATCGGCTAGAACATAATAACAGGCAGAAGATGGCAGCCAGATTTGGTATCAACTTAAAGCCTAGACATCAGAAAAAATGTTAATAATACAATTTAAGTGGAAATTCCTGGAAATCTAAACATTTCCTCTGGATTTATGAAAAAAACATGAATAATTGGTCCATTTTTCAGTGAATTACCCTATAATATATTATTAAGATTGTGTATCTCGTGCAGCCTCTGCACGGAAATCGTACGGAGCCCGTGCAGCTTCCATGCAAAGGTTGCGCGGACAAGGCGCGGTGACCGTGCAACCACCGTGCCGTTTTTAAGCGATCTCTGGCCTCCATGTTCACCGAAAAATCGTGCGTTTGCTGCATGATCAGCGCAAGTCCTCCGTGCGATGCCCGTGCCGGAATTGTGCAAGGACACATACGACATGTCTACGGACTACGGGCTTACGATTTTTCAAATTTGTATAACTTTCTGCGAAAAAAATCGTAGAGGCCGCAGAGCCCTGCGGAGCCCGTGAATCCGTACGAAAATCTCACGGCCCTCTTCTGCCTCCGTACGGAGGCCGCACGGAAAAGGGGATACGGGCAGGATACGGGCTCCGTAGACTAATCGCAGGCCAAATGTAATCTAGGCATATGTGACCGCTACCGTTTGTGACCGTGGGAATGCTTCGGCGGTCCTATAATTGGTATAGGTCGTAGATATTTTAGGCCGCACGCCTACCGCGGCAAATGTGACCTAGGCATTTGTGCTGGTATTTTGCGTCGCGTTAACTGTCCAAATCGAGCAAAACTAATTAATATGGTAAGAGCTGTCTAATATTCAATGTTACTAGGCAACCATGTCGTAAACTACCTATTAACAGCAACGATATGTGAGTTGGTATGAGAAGAAGCGGGGGATACTTTACATGTATTTATCGCATAATTATGTCCATAATATTTACGATTAAATCTTTAAATGAAAAACAATCATGAAAATAAACAACCTGAACAAAAATCTGACACAAAGTGCAAATATACATTGTATGGGCAAATGACTTAATAATAAACACCCTCTCTCTCTCTCTCTCTCTCTCCTTCTCTCTCTCTCTCTCTCTCTCTCTTTGTTTTGTTACAATGTTATTGTCGAAAGGTTTTGTGATTTGTTTATGTACTTTTGAAAAAATTGTATGATTCATATCTTTTGTGTTCTATTCGCAGAAAATTTATCGGAGGATAAAATCATGGAAATCTGTCAGTCTCGAACTATTAATACCAACCTCAGAACTGCGCATAAAGTTGGAGACATGTTCAATGAAACGCGGACGATTCTTCAAGAATTCTATTCAGGGTGGAACCAAGAACTGAGTGAATTACTGGGGGATGAACGCTTCCTGTGGCACTAATGGTGAAACGAAAGAAGGCACTCATCTTTTTTTTTACTCCGGAAGGTTCGTTTTTCCAAAGGTTCAAAATTCCGAAACCCAAATTTAACTTATCAAGGGTTTCAAAATTCCGTTAATTAAAAAGGGTTCATAATTCCGGACATTTTGTTGCATTATTTTGAAGGTTTGTTTATCTGAAGTTTCATTAGTCCGAAAATGAAGTAGGGTTCATTATTCCGAACGTTGGTAGTTACAGAATACGATATTGTTCTATGTAATTGTTGGGATTACAAGCCCTATTTCATTTTCGGAAATACGGACCTCCGGGATGATGATACTTCTTCGGGTTAACAAACCTCCAGAAATATGAGCCTTCGGAATTGGGACCATTCGGAATGATGACCATTCAGAGTGATGAACCCTCGGAATCACGTTCGTTCGGAATATGAACCTTTGGAAAACGACATGTAACCTTACGAAATTAAGTCTCAAGCTCAACAATAATACCAGGGTAGAAACTTTGAGACTTCATCCAGAATTTAATTTAGTTTTTCGTGTTTCGTGCGAGTTGTTTTGTCTAGTGGACTGTGGATCAAGAGATACGTGGTTCGAAACCCTGTCGCAGCTGCAACGTCATTTGCTGAGATATTATACAATTCATTTTAAATAGACTTTGTCATTCATTTACACGTAAGAAAAAACAGTTGCCGCATTTTTGCGGCGGTCTACAACACTATATCTGTACAAGCCTTAAAGGTAATATGTCTCATTTGCAGGCCCCCAAAAAATGAAAAGGTTAAATTCTAACGGCATTTGAAAGATAATACTAATTTAAAACTTCCCCAAAGGGGGGGGGGGGCTTGAAAATGTCTTTAAAGGTAAAGACCAGTTATGGTCATGCGATTGCATTGTGAAAGAAACGTTGTGGACTCGATCAGAAAAGGTTGATCATCTAGCATCTAGCATCTGCAAGGTTCTGGAATCATCAAAATGATAAGAAATTTGGCCCATTCTTCGTAAAGTTACAAGCACTATACACAGAAAGATGTATATGGGACTACCCTATATTTCTCACAGACCATGAGAGAAACAAATTTACCAAATATATGAATTAGTAGGCGGTTTCCCGGCAAATTTTGTATCATCATGTATTAGTCAAAATATATTCTTTCACATGATTGGTAATGAGAGCTTTTATTTCATTTTTTGGAATTGGGGCGTTTCTAGTCCTGGTCTTTACCTTTAAGTGGGACAATTTGATGTTGGCTGCAAAAGGGACATAGTAACTTTAATGAGTGCACACGATGCGCACTTGTGCGGGGACTTAGAATCAAGTCATCGGGTCATTAAAAGTATAATATAAAGACTATTGAAGTATTCATTAAAGATAAACTCCAGTTCTGGTAAAAAATAAATTTAAAAAAATATATATCACAGAATCAAACGAAACTTACACTGAATGTTCAAGATTACAAATAAATGACATGTGCCGAACAATTTCGGAAGAAAATATATACTGGCTGAGTAATGAGCATAGAAAGACAAGGAAATCAAGGTAGTACTAGCCCCGACACCATGTGTGTTGTCCTATATATAGCTTTCTGTGTACAGTGCTTGTTACTTTACCAAGACTCGGCCAATTTGTTATGATTTTGATGACTCTAGAACCTTGCAGTGCACACCAAAACTTACATGCTACATGATCAACTGTTTCTGATCCATTCCACACCTTTTCTTTCACAATGCAATCGCATTACCAGAACTCACCTTTATCTTTAATGCGCTATATGAATGTAAATTATGAACATGATGAAGAGGAGGGTAATAATAAATTATTATTATTACCATCATCATCATCATCATTTGTAGTAGTAGTAATAGTACTAGATGAGTCAACGTCGCAATTTATTGTTTTACTGTATGCAAGAGTACATTTCGAAATTTCTTTTTATTGTATACGGGAACATGTTTCATTATTTATATAGTCGATACTTTTATTTATTATACATACTTTGTATATAGCCATTGGTCAATCGATTTGTACAAATGTCCATTCATTCTTGTCAGATATCATTCGAACGAGTCTCACCAGGCAGTCCGCTGCAGAATATGAGACTCAAATAGGTCTTTGTGCAATCCATTTCAGGGTTTAATCAATTTTGTTTAAAATTTTCCTAACAGGGCCCGGGAGAATCAATATTTCTCTCCAGTCCCATATATTGAACTTTGTGTAAACTTACCTGTTTCTCCGTGCATGTGAACTTTTCTTGAAGACTCTTCTGCATTCATTCCAACCACGTTTAGCTAGCATTAAAGGTAATACAAAGCTTTGGGAAATTTTCAAAATTGCGTGGATAGTGATTCTTTACAATTTTGATATATTTGGATGCCCCTGTGGATGTATTATAAGCACTAGAAAATTTGGCCCCTAAAACACTTCTGCTTTCGAGAAAAATTGAATATAAAAAATTACCGGTGCTCCCGGTAAATTTTGATGAATTTCAAATAGCGCCTACGACCGTATAATGGTAGCTGCGATCATGAAAATCTCAGAATATGTAGTTGTGATATATAATTTCCAAACGGTAATAGCTAATCGGTCGATTTTAGTCAAGAAACATTGTTTTATAGCTTAATTAATATCTTGATGTTGAGAGGGAGCTATACAACATACAGAGTTTATTGTTTACAAGTTCATAACAGTAGACTCGATTTCAACCGCGACAACGATCACTGATTATTGTAGGATTGCATATGCTTCCAATATGTTCATTTGAACCAAATTCATGACCCCATACCAGAACTTGTATTACCTTTAAGTGAATAATGGGTCTCTCATTATTCTAAGAGCAATATAGCTATATACGAGAAACCATTGACAATGTTTTGAGCATTCTTATTGTGATATCTTGAAGTTTATATCATTTGCTCATGACGCCAATATTTTTCTTAAAAATAAAAATGTAAAAGAATTCAACTCTGTCATTGCTATATTATTATGAAATTTTAAATCAGTGGTTTCTAGCTAAAAAGTTGATCGTAAACATAGAGAAAACAAATTCATGATCTTTTGAAATATGCATATTGAAATGATTGATGTTAAACCCTATATTGATAGTATAAATATATAAAATTAATAATATTAATTCATTAATTTATTTATTAATAAATTATACAGTTTTATTAGTAAAAACTGTATAATTTTGTTGGTAAATATACTGTTGGTCATAATGATGGAATAATTATGTTTACCCAAATTTCTTGAATGATTTTGACAATGATTTATTCCTAATAGATCTAGATAATAGTATACATTCTCAGATTTTATTGAATGACAATTGGGGGGCAACGTCGATCTGGCGCTGCTCAGTGGCTGTCGGGCTCACGATCAATTGGGCAAAAAAAAAACCGTTTCGGTTTAATAAAATTTGGAGTGGACTATTAGGCTATTATTATTATTTTATTTTTTTGCGTGACTGCTAAATCATGTGTGTGCTACTATGCTAATCAACTAAGGGACCTACGTCCTTAAGTCATAACAGACAGTAATGGGGATTAATGCCTCATAAAAGGGCACTAATATAGCACATCGACACGGTTTTGATCCTGGGGGCTCACAGTAACAAGGCCATTGCTTAGCCAATAAATCATGACTGTACGCAGCGGGCGCTAGGGTACGTCGACGCCCCCACAAAAGCAAAAAAACAAAGAAAATGCAATAGATTGTCAATAATTCATTACATTTTGCGCCGACCCCCAACATAACAAAATCTTCTATGTGGGCATGCCTTGAGCCATAATGCATGTCCCTACAGAGGAATTTTTCCTGTTTAGGGACTGGGAAAAATACATATTAGTGCCCTTTTGTGGGGCATTAATCCTCATTACTGTCATTTATGACTTAAGGACGTAGGTCCCCTAGTTGATAACCTAACACATGCTTTAACAGTCACGCAAAACAAACACTGGCAAATTATTATTCAATAAAATCTGAGAATGTATACTATTATCTAGATCTATTAGGAATAAATCATTGTCAAAATAATTCCATAAATTGGGGTAACAAAAAATATTCCATCTTTATGAGCAACAGTGTAAGTGTAACAAGTATCTTCTTAGCAGCTTAATGAAATTGCGATGAAGGATAATTAGGATGATTACAAACTCTGATTTCGGCAGTCATTCCACGTCGTTGGTTCGAACCCCGGCCGAGTCATACCAAAGAATTATAGCTAGGCGCTCAGCATATTACATTGGAGAAGGGTAGTAATAACATATTATGTTATGTAGGGCCCGCTGGAAGAGTAGTTTCATAACTGAAGTGGCTACCTTGGGTAAATAAAAGATTATTATTATTATCTCCACAACTACAATTTAAGTATTTATGTTGGCGTATAATTATGTTAAAAAACTTAGGCCTACCCAAAATATTCAACTCAATTTTTAAAAAAATAACAATTTTCATTTGTATAATACTAGTTGATTATTGTTGAACCTCATTCTTTAGATAAATAACAACGTGCAAATGACTCCTTTTATGGAATAAAATCACATTACACATAAAAAACACCAATTCGTTAAAATCTTTCACGAAATGCAAGTTTGTTAAGATACACGTACTTTAGAGGTTCCCGACATAATGAGCATTTTATGCTATTTTCTGGTCTCGTTTATGCTTATGATCTTTGTTAAAGATGCAGTTATCATTGTTATTATTTAAACGTTTGGATAATAAATCTCAAATGAATTTTAGGTATTATTCGTTAGTTCGTTCGTTCGACCTTCTTACGGGCAGGTAGTCCAGAATCTTCCCGGTTCTTTATAATTCCCGACACACTTGATTTAAGCCGTCGAAGATGGCGTTATCAACAAACTCATAAATATGCTCACCAGCCAAGCCTGAGTTTCGCCTGGCGTCCTAATTTAATGATCACGCCATCATCGGCTGGTAAGTAGGGAGAGGCAGCGTTGGTGTACGTGTTGGAGATCAAAATAAAATCAGGCCGGATTCTGGACTTACGGGCAGGCGGCAAAATTATGGAAGCTGAATTCGTGAAAGTAGCGGGTCCGTTATCCTGTTTCCTCCCTTTTCCCGCCGTTTGATGAAGAGGGGGCGGGTACCGAGTGCGCCTATAATAATTATGCTAAAACGGATGGATACGATGAAAGCGTATACAAAGCCGTTATCGCCTTTTTTGCGGGCAGCCGACGATCCAGGGCTCGTTCTGATGTGAAGCGGCAAAACTGCAGCGGGATTATTTATGGTGACGTAAAGTGTAACAGCATGTCCATACACCAACACAATTTATCCCAGAACTCTATAAAGAAACGTCGTCTAAAGAATCATTGTGTAGCGAACATGGCGTCCACACACAAGAACCGTCGTGTTATGAATCATCGTACAGCGAACAGGGCGTCCACACACTCAAGGTAAGAAACATCGTAAAAAGATAAAGAAACTGATTTTGACGTGATCGGTTTACATAACAGCCGGTCAATCATAAGTGTGCGGTCACGTTAAGCCCCGCCCATTTATACCGTTCTGTTTCGACTATAGGTCCACGCAGACCCTAGTTTCGTTTATATAAGACGTTTCTTAGTATACGACGTATCGTTATTAAGCGTAAACACACACACACGCGTACACACACACGCACTCACGCACATACACACACAGGCGCGTACGCAGAGGGGGGGGGGGTTGGGGGTTGGAGGTCGAACCCTCTCCCCTCACTCTCAAACTTTTTGTGTGTGTTTTGGAGGAAATCCCCCCCCCCCCCG